GTATAATAAAAAAAATTATAAATTAAAAACTAAATAATTTAAATATTTTTTATAAATTTATAAATTGATAAGAAAAAATTATTTAATTAAAATATAATAAATTTATTTTTGAATCTTAATATTATAGTATATACAATTCTAAAAATATAGTTTAAAATAAGTTATTAGATTTAATATTATTAATAAGTTTTTTAATTTATTTTATAAAATATGATATATCAGAAGTAATGATACAACTTATATATATTATTAATTTTTTATATATTTATTATATTAAAAGACTAAAATATTATATAAAGTTAATTAAAAAAATTTATTAAAATTAGATTAGATTTTTTGAATAAATTATATATTTTATTAAGAATAGATATTCTTATAATAGCTTGTTATATATAATAATTTCAGATTAACTAATAGTAATTAGAATTAAAATTTAAATTACACAAATTTTTAGTTTATTTTTATTGGTTATACTAATTGAATTGTTATAAATAAGTGCATAACAAGTTGTTACAATTAGATTTGTCTTTTTATTAAAAACATAAATAAATTTTTTTATATATTCTTTTATATATATATAAATTTTTTTTATTTTTTTAATAATTTTAATAATTTTAATTTTTTTATATTTAACTGATATATTTAACTCTTATTTAAAACTTTTTATTAATTATTTTATTTATAAGTCTTATTTTTTTAAAACTTTTATAAAAATTTTTAACAATCTTCATAATAAAATTATATTTTGTTCTTATTAATTTGTTATTTATAATGATTTTTACTTTTTTTTATTTAATAAATAAAATTTACTTGATTTATAACTTAACATTTTATACATTTTTTATATTCTAACATATTATTATTTAATAAATATTTAATATAAAAATTGTAAAATTTAAAAAAATTTAATTATTATTATTAAAATACATTACAAAAACTTCAAGTTTGCTTAATAAACTTAACTACATTTTATAACAGAGATAAGTTATGCAACCTTTCTAAAAAAAGTATTGTATAACATATAATAAATTTTTTTTATTAATTATATATCTAATTTTCAAATTGATGCAATTAATACAGACAAATTTCTTAAAATTCAGTAGGTTTATAATTAAAGTCAAGGTTAAGAATTAGAGTTTTAATAGTAAAATTGATCAACAAAAATTTTCTATTAGAACACAAATGATTTCTTATGCTGATTTGAGTTATAGGCGATTTTTGACAAAACGAACGTTTGTTTAGAATCTTCTTGATCGTGTTACGTTACACGTAATCTTGATATCTGATTCGTAAATCTCCTGTTATAAATGACCAATAATAGCGTGTTATTCATTTTCATGTGATCAACCAAGTTATTCTACATACCTGATCCCAAAATTCCGAGTCAAGAGATGATCGACCATAAAGATTTTTTAAAATTTAAAGGTTTTAACTAATTTTTTAATTTAAATCTATATGTTAATATAATTAAAATAAAAAAAAAGTTATCAAATTTAGTTTAAAATATATTTGATTTTCTTAATAAAAATCTCGTGTAACAATATCTCGTAGGATCATTTTGCTACGTAGCAAAGATCCCCAGATATAATTAATATCTAAGTCTAACCTTATCTAGATACTCATTTTGTGATGTAAAAGAACATATACTAGAGTAAATTTTTTTCATTTTGCATATTTTTACGTATAGGTCAGAGCCGCTAACTATGACATCAGTTGTTGTCGTTATCTTTACATAAACATCATCTAATTTATTGGTTCCGGATCTTTGCGGATAGTCCGATTTCGTTAGACAAAATTTAACGTTAACACTAAATGATGCAAACAATTTATTATGGAAACTACTTTAAACTATTACTAATTAAAACTACCCTACTAAATTAAAACTATTAATTGAAATTGTTCAAAAACTAAGCTTCGCACATGCATAGGAACTAGATGAGAGTCGACTGTTCAGTAGACTATCGATCGAGTTCAAAAAGGCTTGAACGCCAATATGTACGTACGCATGTGCGGGTTGATATGTCAGGGAATCTATTTTAAGAATCTGATAGTGATTACAAACCGAAATATATAATAAGATTATATTTTTTACAAATCTAAATCGGATCTTGTACTATAGATGATTCTTTTAATAAAACGCATTATTAATTGTAATCAGTTCAAAGTGGTCAAAGATTATATTGCAACCTTCATCAGTTTAGCAAGCGAAGTCTCATACAACAAATAGAAATAATCATTTTTCAATTTTCAATTGAAAAAAAAAACATTAAAAAGGATTAAATAGTATATATAATACAGTAGATAAACTTTATTTGGATTGTTTTTATAAAAATCGAGAAGTGTTATCTTCTTAGGTATCACAATCAACCAGCGATGACATAGTTCTATACAAAGTTGTTATTAGAAAGAAATAAAAATAAAAAACTACATATAAGTGCGGCCAACATGAAAACTAGGAAATCTAAATATAGATTTATATGGACTGCCTTAAAAAATATTGATATATAAATAATATTTTTATATTTAGGTTCGCTGGTTTTTGCTTGGCGAAACTCGTATTTTGTCAGAATTAGTGAACCAAAAAACCATGACTGGTATGTACGTACATATAAATTTTCCAGGTGCTTCAAAGTGTACAAACTGTATAAGGGTACCCTAAGAGTCCTCCAAAATTTAACCTTGCACATATACTAAATTGAAAAAAAAACATTGTAATCGTAATTTTGTCCGCAATTTTATACATAATATATAATTAAAAATTAAGTTTTGGATTGTGGTCGAATCATGATCGATATTAATGATCGCGAAATATAGTGATAGGTGGGAATTAATGATTCTTAAAGTTGTTCAAAAGTATTACACATTACACATTATATAAATTAAATACTTAAATCGTATAAAATGACACCATAAGTATATTTTAGGATACATAAAAATAGTGTTTAATGTAAACAAATCTTGTAGTCCCATTAATGGTAATTGGCAAATTAGGCATCCACTTTTGTTAAGATCTGTTAAGCTCTATCGTAGCTAGTGATAATATTTTATACGGTTAAAACCCAATTAACAATGCACGATCATAAAATTAACGATTTACGTTACGTTCTGTATCAACTAATATAAACAAATAAATAGTTAAGTGAAGACGAAATAATTGTATAAAAGAATATATGATTATTTTTCAGGAAAAAAAGAATGGTGAAATTTACCATAATTCTGTATGTAATCATATTATTGTCACTATTACCATCTCCATCAACCCAATTACAACGGTTCACATACCAAGATCCGCAGGCTGGCCTAGATCTTATCGACTATGATAAGTCAAATGATGGAACTATAATATTACGTTTCGGAAAACCAATAACGCAAGTAAACGGGAGTACAATGTGCTGGGATAAGACCATTTATCTTAGAATAATTCATCCAAACGCGTCGATTAGCTTCTTTTCGATTTCAAATCATGATATCCCAGATTTTAATTTTTGTTTGATAAATGGAACAAATAATGATTACACGAAAATTTGGGGATTCGATCAAGGACTTATGTTGCTTACTTTTCATGATTCATCGAACGCAACGACTTCTGCAATCATGGGTCTCTTCATGAATTTCGAAGGATCAGTTATAAGGTTTTTATTCAAATAATTAATTCATTAATGAATACAGAGAAATGGTTGTTTTAATACTTTATTCGTACATTATAGTACAATAAAATTGCATGATGCCCTTATAGACTATGGTGGCATATTAAAGTATTGGCTTGTGATTCCGATTTCTAGTCCAAGTGATGGTTTTCTATTTTACTGTCGCAGCACGTCGGTAATAAGTTGGATACATTTTAGCGCACCGTACGTAAATTTATCATTATTATAAGATAGAATTATCAATTATCAATGTAACAAACCCATATATATATTTATATATACCTTACAATAGAAACAGTGACGGAAAAGTAATCGAAATAGCTAGAAGTGGAATAATCCAAACAAACATTAAAATCGTATCTTTCTCAGCTTTCTACGTGCTAGAAAGGGGGTTTGCCATAGCTTACGGAGGAGATGATTCTCTTAATTCTACCGCTAACATTAATAGTTTTAATGTTGGCACGACTAACGGCGTGTACATAATTTTTTATTATTTGGAAACCAATATGCAGAGGGGTCCATTCTTGATATATCAAATTCCCACACAAATATTAAAGTCGAATGATTCTCAGACATTAATTCAAACTTCAACATTACAGGAACTTATATGTAATGTTGATTTTGACGGTGCAGGGAATATATGTATGCTAATATTGACTTCTCAATATAATATCACAAATACAACTTCACAACCTACCCTCTTAAAAATATCTTATCTTTCTTCCGGGTAACTCATTGTTAATATTATAATACCTTAAGAAAAAAAAAAAAAAGCAAAATAATTAATACATATGCATATATATATATTTTTTTAAAAAAAAACTAGATCAGTAACGAAAATAGGGGAAATGAAAAATGTAAACTTTACTAACGGATTTAATCTCATTCCTCTTCGATTTGGTGGTTACCTAATGACAGTATATCAAGACGTTACCAATTTTGGTTATGTTCTCGAAGAAGATGGAAATGTATATTGCAATTGGTCTTTACCACAACCTTTATATCTTCCTCAGCATAAAAGTGGTTATGCTGTACTTACGAATAATTCAATCGTTGTCGTAGAGAATCAAAATGATTCAATTTGGAGCATAACACGTGATGATTTATATAGATTCTACGGACAAGGTAAAAAATGCTTCAATTGTTAAGAATTATCATTACAGATACTTCAAATTTTAATTTCTGTTAAAAAATAATAAAGACAATAGATACAATAACCCGATCATAGAATCAACGAATCCGATAATAGGTTCCCAAGTAAACGAATCTACGAGACAACTCCTGTCTACATTCACTTATCCTGTGACTCTCTCCAGTTCGAACGTTTCAATATACCAACAAATAATTGGATCTAATGATTTGTTACGCCAACGATTTAATGGCGATTCTTCAAATCCACTTTGTCGCCTTGATCCAAATAACAATAAATCCATTTTAATACAAGTTCTTCCCAGTACTTTTAACGAACCTAATAGTCTTTATTATGTGGTTATTGAGAATAATTTTGTAAAACGTAGCGATTCAAATGAAGCTCTTTTGGGAGTTGATAAAAATTTATGGACTTTAGTCGCTGGTGATAAATCATTGTTTATCGTTAATATACTATATATTTTTATAATATAACCTAATGTTGCTTTTTCTTCTTAGAAAACAAACAATATGTTTATTCAAGTAATATTCCCTTTGTATTATTTTTTTATTCTTATAACCTTCAAATAACTAACTATTGTCATAATTTTAGGCAAAATAACGGGCATTATCCGTCTAACACCAGATGGTTCAAATTATTTTCTTTCTCTTAGCTCTGCTAATCGACTAAAATTTCATGAACAAATAGCCGCCGACCTCTCTTCCGTAATTCCCGTCGAAGATAACAGACTAACTGCCGCAGACGGTTTCGAAAAAGATATGTCCACCGGAACCTTGCAAATATTGCTTCCCTTTAACATTAAGGATACTACAGATTTGTCAAAGAAAAGTACTGACAAAATATCTCAAGATTTAAATACATTATTGACATATAAGAAATATAGTGCTTTAATGGATTACAATACGACAGCTTTAATTGATGAGACTTATTCCATGACTATTGCTCGTAAGCTTACAATTAATATCTTTTTTTATTTTAATCTTGATTGCTTAGTTCTTAATATATGTACCTTTTTTTTTTATTTAAAGCATTATTGTTAAGAGATTACTCGTTGCTACTCATAATAATTTTTATTCTATCGACAATCTTAATCATAATGTATTTATTGGCATCATGGAAATTTAAAAAGGTTAGATATTTCTGTTATATTCCACGACCCTATATATGTTCGCTCGTGAACATTTCTAAATGATTTTATGATGTAATGCCGTGAAAATATCAAAACTATTCCACGGGCGACATCACCAGTAAAAATTTTTAATTAGAAATGTTACCGTTAAATATAACATATATTTCACGGTGTGTCATGAACCCAATATATTATCACGGCTTCGCCGTGCTAATCCATCATATTCACAACAGCCTGTGAAATATCTATTACTTGTCTGAAAAATTTAAAGTAATATTATTTTTGTATTGTATGTATTTAGGCTAAAAATTTTGCGGTATTCAAATTAATATTCATCGTTATTGATTTGGGATTGCGTATCTCGTTTCTCGTCAAAGATGCTCGTAAAGTTCCAGAATTATGGTTACCGACGTTAGTCTTTTTCGCATAACTATTTATTTACAGTATATGTTTACGTTTCGTAATCTATCTAAGTTTCCAACTTTCATTTCTTTTTCAAATCCTTTTTACTCAATTGCAGTTTAATGATCCTCGTAATTTCAACGTCCACAAACATGGCCTTTTCTTTTATGATTACTGTTCATGAAATTGGTAAAAATCCTAAATTCAACAAATGGTTCTCAGAATATGGTCATTTTCTTCCACTTCTCACTATCATATCAACGGGACATATTGAAGCTCTTAATGTTTTGACTTCAAAATTTGGGATGTTGGAAATATTCAGCACAACCTTTTCAAAGACTGCTGAAAAAACTATATTTATTGTTGGAATATTAGGCTTGATTATCGGTGAAATCCCGCAATTCATCATTCAGGTTGGCACTTTATTTGATGAAAAAGTGAAATTAAAATTAATTTTATATACTAACGATTTATTTATTATTCAAACAAAGATATTATTCAGAGAAAGAACGATATTGTACAACATTATACCACAACTAACCTTAATAACGAATACACTTGTAATGACATATAATATATTTTCCACGATTTATAAAGCGATATTTTGGTGTTTGAGTAAGCAAGCACGATCGAAAATTGATGATAAACCTATCAATTAAAGTCAAAAGGGTTTTAAAATAAATTTGTTTGTTTATTGAACTAAACATACTAACAATCACGATTGAGATTGTTTTTCTGAACAGTGATACACTCTCTTTAATACCACAATGACATCTCATTATTTCATTGTTGTCAAAATCTTTGCACATATGCGCACTATTTTATTACATTCTCTTGTTTTTTGCTTGATGTTAAAAATAAAAGACTGTAAAGAAAGTCTAATTACTCAAACTTTACAATTATGATTTTAAAACTAATGCTTCAAAGACAAATCTGCAGGGAAAAGAGACAAAGCTTTATTTAACTCATAAAAACGTCTTATATTATAATCAAGAGTTTAACAACGATTTTCTAACGTTATTATCGTTCATATCGTTCGTTATTCGTTATGCATAAACTGATATCTTAATTGTTCATTATAATAAGAAAAATAGATATATCTGATCGCGTTTGTATGTTTATAAAGTACTGCAATTACTTTAGCTTGGCTCTGTACAAACAACATGATGTTCCTGAGGAACACCTAAACCTCTCTTAGTAGATTCTTTAGTACATTCACCATCATTCAAAGTATCCGCCATATTAATAGTATCAATTCCCAATTTTCCAAGCTCAGAATCTTTTTCATTCCTTGATTCACGTTTAATTTGACCACTTTGGGTTTTAAAATTTTCACCGAAATGTGTTAAATCAGGATCTTCGCGTGTGAATGTTGGTTCGTGACCACTCTCTTCAAAATGATTTGGAAGTTCTTCCTCTTCTCGTTGTTTTTTTATCCTTTCCTCTTTCTTAGGTTTGGATTCGAGACCAAGACGTTGACGTTGATGATATGTAGAAGGTGGATTGTGAGAAGTGTCAAGCAATTTTTCGTAAACCGATGACATCCTTCACAAAAAAAAAAAAAAAACTAAGCTACTAATATAACAGTTGTTAAATTGAAACTCAAAAAGAATCTAAGGTGATTTAAAAGAATCAAAAATGGTTTATATATTAATTTATCATATTAATTACTAATCAGATTGACAAGTTATCAATGGTCTTGGAAGTAATGATATCATTTTTATAATTATAATGTTCCCCATGACTTCATGATTTTATAATAATGATTTAATTAATTTTTGATTGACTTAATTCCAATAATTACATAGCGATGCAATATCATAAATGTTTTTATATAATTTCATATTCGCCAGCTACTATGAATAATAAATGATATGAACTGCTCAAGTAACGTATTGGATACATAGTTCGCATGCGATGCCAAAAAAAATATATATTATACATTACTATATATATAAAATAACATACTGATAAAATGTTCGATCATTAACCATGATCTTGATCAATATCATTAATAGCGGTTTCCAATCAAATTGATGTAACCAAAATATGACCAAAAATCATTTATCCTTTTCATATTTTCAAAAGAATTACTTAATCGAAGCTTTTAAAAACATAATCTGTACGAAAAACCTAGATGAAAATAAATTCAAATGCTTTAAATGATGGATGATTAATATAACTATTATGTGATAAATTTTTAGTTATAATAATATTGTTACCTTAATCTCTAAAGTACCTTGATCAAAGAAAAATTGCGACTTTCCAGTATCAATCTTATAGGGAAAGACGATAGTTCCCTTTCGAATTGAGAATAAGAGATGCAAATAAATAAACTCATATAAGTTAAATAAATGAATTAAAGATATATACCAAAAATCGACCATAAAGAGGTTTTATATCCCAATCATGATCCATAATTATTAGAACGTCGCCTCCACGAGTTTCATCTCTACATACATTAACTATTTATTTTGCAATGTTATGAAAATAAAGTAATATATTATATGTACACATGAACTCTGTTATAATGACAATGCTGTCATAATGAGACTCGTATGCATATATTCACGAAACGCCTGGAATAATTTATTATCCTACCAATAATATTTTCTTCACGAAAACCAGGAAGCTCCACTTGTATTAAATATATATATATATATTTTTTTTAAAAAAAAAAAAATAAATAAATAAAATTTTAATAAAAAAGGGTTGGAAATCAAAGAAATGTAAATGTCCTAATGATACCATGGATAACAAGTTCTCCATCAATTTCGTTAACTGAAAAAAAAAGATTCAAAAGATATCAATTAATAGTTAAGAGTTAATAGATGATAAAACAAGTATAGAAAGCATAAATATTACCATTGACAATTTGTTTTTGTTCATTCCGTGATGGTAAGGTTTTTTCACTAGAAGGACCTTGCCATTCATAATAAAAATCAGTAAAGACCCGTAATAAATCATTTTTGAATCTTTCAAGAGAATTTTCGAAAAAATCATCAAAGTCATTATTAGACCAATTAAAAGATTCATCTAAAAAATTATTTGTTGGTGACGCTACGACAGTGTTATCATCGGGAGTGTCCCAATTAGGAGACTCGGTCGTGTTATTATTGTCAGGCCAAGTAAAAAAATTATCGGCGACATTATCATCAACGATATTCCAAGTGCCATTGTTATCCCAATTATTGCCGTTATTTGTGTCAAATTCATCCATCTTTCCAGTAATTGCTACAAAAATGTGTTAACTAAAAAGAATAAAAAGATCAACCCGTTTGAATAAGATCTGTTATATCGATATTTGACTTATTGTGTGAGAATATAAATTATATGTTTAAAATTTAGTTGATATAATTAAATTTATAAGGATTGTATGATTATATCGTTACAAAGGGGGTAATTACGAAATTTTAAAAAGATCTTATAACTCAATATACATTATAATTTATTATAAATTTATTATTATTATTAGATACGTTTCACATAACGATAATATGCAGAAGACATTGATACATTCTTCTCACCTTGAATGTTAAGACAGGGGATTACCGTTACAATCATGTGTGGTGATTTATATTTGTTTGTCACACCAGTACGTAGTCACGAGGCGTGCATATCATACTGACGATAATTAACGTTAATATCGATATGATTTATGGGTGCCCTAATTTCCCCCACCACTTCACTATCGGAGAACTATAAAATTGATTAAATAACACAGATACCCGATATGTAGAACCAATCATAAGTGGTGGGGAAATTAGTAAATTTGATTTACAATCAAAAATAATTGAAATGTCATAAAATTGCATGCCCCAGGCCAGTGTTGGGCCTGGACATTAGACCTGAACATTGGGCCACCTTGTTCAGTCCAGTCTAATCCATTGGACCAAAGGGCGTTGGACATTGGACATGGCTCCTAGGTTCGGTTTGGGTAAGTCCAGCCCGATCTGGGGTCAAACTTGAACTCAAACTCTAAATTTTGCTAATTTCAAACTTCAAACCAGACTCAAACTCAATTAAGAGTTTGGTCTAAAGTTTGCAAAATAGGGATGTATTTTTCTGTGCTAAACAAGTTTATTAGTGCATGAAGTTGGAATTAATTAGTAAAATATATAATTTTATTAATAAAATTATATGATTCTCGGAATTTTATTAATTAATTATAACTTTATACACTAAGTAAACTTGTTTAGCATCTAAAAATACATTAAAATAATAGAGTTGTTTTGATTTTACTTGAAAATTGGAGAAAATATGCTTAAATTTGAATTTTTTGATTAAAAACCCAAATTCAAACATTAAAGTTTACTTAGTACTTGAAATAGAATTACAGAAATTTATTAATAATTAATAAAATTATTTATAATTTTATAATTTTTAAAATTTTACTAATTAATTCTAACCTCATATACTAAGTGAACTTGTTCAATATCTAAGAATATTGCTTTTGTTTTACTTGAAATTTGGAGAAAAGATGCTTAATTTAAAATAACCCAATATTGTTAGATGTTAAACAAGTTTACTTAGTGCATAAAGTTAGAATTAATTAATAAAATTCCAATAATAATAAGATTTATAGAATTTTATTAATAAAATTATATAGAACCTTATGATTCTTAAAAGTTTACTAGTCAATTCTAATTCCATGCATTAAATAAACATGTTTAGCACAAAAAAATACATATATACATATTCGGACTCAAATTAGTTTGCAAACTTCGAAATGAACCCGGACCAAACTCAAACTTGACTAAAAAAGCTTGAAAAGTTTGAGTCTGGTTTGAAAATCAAACCAGATTCAAACGTGACTAAAAGTTTGGTTCAGTCTGGTCCAATAGGAGTACTAAGTATTAGCAATCTTGAATAATCTATTTTAAATACGAAAAGCAGACAAATGTTTAAAAACAAATAGTAAAATAGGTATTTATTTTTTTATGTATTAGTAGATAATATTGGTAATCAAAGACAGCAGATATTTTAATTATCCAATTTATGAATAAGTAATTGAACATATTGGACTTAAACTATGTTCAGGTATATGTCCAATGTTCACCAGTCCAAGGGTATTAAAAATAGTTGGACATATGTTCAGTCCTTTGTGATCGGCCATCGATCTTGTTTGCACAGTTTACATATTTGAAAAAAAAGGTCAAGAATGCAATTTTATTTGTAAATTTGCCTTAATTTCTAACTTGAAACCGACTACAATTCTAAATCATACAAATCTGTTGATATAGGCCGATTTCGAAAATTTGTGTAGCCAATCTTAACAGATTTATATAAATAAAATAAAAAACCATTTCTTTTGGCTTCCTGATTCTAAGGACGACATAACCATTTGCAAAAACGTATGTATATTAATAACTATAATGATCACCCAATCACGTGAAAACAAAATGGTTGTGTAACTACTTCGAAACAATTCGTGTAACATCTAATTTAATGTAGAAAGTAACTGATTTTTAATTTCATAGTAATCCAGATCATAGTTATAACTTTTAGCATAGTGAGTACTGTGTGAAAAAAAAACACAAAATGTGAGAAAAATTTTAAGTAGGTATCATTTAGAAAAGCTTATATAATTAAACCTGATTGATAGGGGCAAGCAACCGTTTTTGAATCAACTTATTTAAGGTATAAAATATCGATATAGTGCGAAATGCACAAGTTTTTGACTTAGACATTTCGACATTATTTAGACATTTTGACATAATTTAGAATTTGGCATTATTTTATAATTTCGGCAGACTAATCACCAAATGTCGAAATATTTTTACAAGCTCAAAACAATTTCGGCTAACAACATTACGTTCGTTCTGCCTAAAATTGCTTATAGCTCAAAAATCAGCATAAGAAACCACCTTTTATGCTCTAATAAAAAGTTTTTGTTGAACAATTTATTATATAAATTATTTCCTCTAGATCCTAACTTTGACCCTAACCCTAACCTTAACGAATTAAGAATTTAGTCTTCGCCGCCAACCTTGTACGTACACATTTACTATATGCTACGTAGTATACTATATATATACTTTATCGTTGTTAGACAAGAATAATGCATATAATCGATATGGAATATGTAATACGTATAAATTAAACCACATGCATAAAGTAAAAATAACGACGCAAAAAAAAATTTTGATTAAAAAACCTGCTAATACACCTATAACCTGCCCTAACCCCGATGCTACTCACTTCATCGACAATCACTTCACAGACATGCTATTTTACCTACAACCAATTTACCGACAAACTTATTTTACAGTCAACTATTTTACTGACACTTGATTTACCAACAAGTTTAGTTTACCGACAAGTTCATTTTAATGACACTTAATACACCGATATTTACTTTAACGACAAGAATGATTCACCGACAAACTTATTTTACCGACAGTTTAATTCACCGATAATATACTTCGCAGACAATAGAATTCACAGACAATATACTTCACAGACAATAGAATTCACGGACAATATACTTCATAGACAATACTGTTCACCGACAAGTTTATGTAAAGATAAAAAAAAAAATTAGAGTTAGAGTTGAACGAAGAATCAAATTATTTATGCAGTAAAAAAAGATAATATCGCCACGTAATGCTTGACTCAAATTTATGTAAAAAAAAAAAAAAGTTAGTATCGAGCAAAGAATCAAATTATTTATACAGTAATAAAGTAACATAATACTTGACCTAATTATTACTATGTATTAAGCAAAGATAGAGTCTAACGTTAATACTTGGATCCGGATTTAATCATTAAATCCAGATTTAATTGTTAGATTCAGATTTATTGTTAGATCCGGATTTATTGTTAAATCCGGATTTAATTATAAGATCCGGATTTAATTATGCAGGCATACCTCTCACAAATCTGTTTCAGAAAAATTATCACAATACAGATATTATTGTTAAATCCGAATCTTATAATTAAACCTGGATTTAACAATAAATCTGGATTTAACAATTAAATCTGGATTTAATGATTAAATCCAGATCCAAGTTTTAACTCTAAGCGAAAAATCAATTATTCATGTGACAAAAAGTAATGTGGTACTTGACCTAATTATCGTCACACAATACTTGGCTCAAATTTATGTAAAAAAAAAAACATTATTAATCAAGGAATCAAATTATTTATAAAGTAAAAAAAAAAAAAAAAAAAAAAAAAAGGTAATGTAATACTTAACCTAATTATCATTACGTGAATTCTTTTGACTCAAGTTTATGTAAAAAGTTAATATTAATCGAAGAATTAAATTATTTATGGAGTAAAGAAGTATCATCACACAATATTTTTGATACAGATTAAGTAAAAAAAAAAAAGAAAAAATTAGTTAGTATTGAACGAAGAATCAAATTATTTATGCAGTAAAAAAAAGGTAATATGATACTTGACCTAATTATTACTACGTGAATATTTTTGACTCAAATTTATAATAGTGAGCAAAGAATCAAATTATATATGCAGTAAAGTAATGTGATACTTGACCTAATTATTATCATGTGAATACTTTTGACTTAAATTTATGTAAAAAAAATAAATCAAAGTTAGTATTGAACAAGAATCAAATTATTCATGCAGTAAAAAAGTAATGTTCCTAATTGTCACACAATACTTGGCTCAAATTTATGTAAAAAAAATCAAGGCTAGTATTAACGAAAAATCAAGTTATTTATACAGCAATAAGTATTGCAATACCTGATCTAATTATCACTACAAACATGAATTAGTATTAAGTAAAGAATCAAAGTATTTAAAAAATAACAAATTCTTTATTATATTACATATAATCAAATCATGCAAGATTTCACATAAATAAAATTATCTATTGCAAGGTATATAGATCAAATACCACTAGTTAAAAAAGATGTATTTTTCCAAACATATAAAATCTAAAAAAACTAGTATTTTCACATATATTTAATAACAAAATAGATAAATTTATAAAGATATATATGCTGTTATAAGTTTAATACAAAATTAGATGCAAAATACTAGTTCCTTATATCTAATTATCAGTTAATAAGTGCAACACATTTAATATATATTTCAGTATTTCGTAAATATACATCTTTTAACAACCAGTATAAATCCAAATATCAGAAATTTGAATATTTTATTTATGTAAAATTTAATAAAATGATAAACATAAAATAAAAAAAGATTCCCCCAATATAATATATATATATATGTGTATAAATTTTAGAATGTAATATTGTGAGCAATGCCTCGTAAATACTCTATGAGTGGCCTATTGGTATGGTCATTAAAGATTGATTGAATACATGCTTCATGTTCTATATTTTGTCATCTTTGTGGTTGTCATAGCACACCTCGGAAAACTGCTTCGATATTAAGCTGAACATTATTTTGTTTTTTTTGAATTTCCTTTATAATTTTAAAGACCTCCGCATGAGAACAACTGACCAATGTCTTCCACCTTCTATGCCATCCTTTGACTGAGTTTTGGGTCTTAGGATAAGCAAATTCTACATTATTAGCTACTGACCAAAAATTTGATAGAAATAACAGCTCTGATCTAATAATATTTCTATTCCTATGTACATGCCTAACTCTACCCAAAATATAGTTCTCTTCAAACTATTGAACAACCTAATTGGCCTCAGCTGGAATATGAGTTTTCAATTCATCAAACGCATCAGGTATTTCATTATGGGGCAAAAAAGCAAGGGTGGATATATGCCTTATTAATAAACTAAAAGCTTCATTAGTACCATATCGCATACTAAGTCCGGATGCTTGGATTCTGTGATAAACACTTTGAGAGAGGTAAAAATGACACCCCTTATTTTGAACATCTTCAAACTTCAATTGAACCACATTTACAACCGCACTTTTAAAATCTGTTAAAACTATTTGTGGATGTAAATCAATATT